GTGCCAGTACCATGCTGTCTTGATGATGACAGCTTTGTAATAGAGCTTAAGTCCGGAATTGTGATGCCACCAGCTTTGCTTTTCTTTTTCAACATTCCTCTGGCTATTCAGGGTCTTTTGTGGTTCCATACAAATTTTAGGATTATTTGTTTCATTTCTTTGAAAAAAGTGGGTGGTATTTTGATGGGGATTGCATTGAATGTGTAGATTGCTCTAGGTAGCATTGCTATCTTCACAATATTTGTTCTTCCAATCCATGATCATGGAACATTTTTTCCATTTCTTTGTGTCTTCCTCAATTTCTCTCATGAGTATTTTATAGTTTCCTGAGTACAGATTCTTTGCCTCTTTAGTTAAATTTATTCCTAGGTATCTTATGGTTTTGGGTACAATTGTAAATGGGATTGACTCCTTAATTTCTCTCTCTTCTGTCTTGCTGTTGGTGTATAGGAATGCCACTGATTTCTGTGCATTGATTTTATATCCTGCCACTTGACTGAATTCCTGTATGAGTTCTAGCAGTTTTGGGGTGGAGTCTTTTGGGTTTTCCACATAAAGTATCATATCATCTGCAAAGAGTGAGAGTTTGACTTCCTCTTTGCCGATTTGGATGCCTTTGATTTCTTTTGTTGTCTGATTGCTGTGGCTAGGACTTCTAATACTATGCTGAATAGCAGTGGTGATAGTGGACATCCCTGCTGCGTTCCTGACCTTAGGGGGAGAGCTCTCAGTTTTTCCCCATTGAGAATGATATTTGCTGTGGGTTTTTCATAGATGGCTTTTATGATATTGAGGTATGTACCCTCTATCCCTATACTCTGAAGAGTTTTGATCAAGAAAGGATGCTGTACTTTGTCAAATGCTTTTTCTGCATCTATTGAGAGGATCATATGATTCTTGTTCTTTCTTTTGTTAATGTATTGTATCACATTGATTGATTGGCGGATGTTGAACCAACCTTGCAGCCCAGGGATAAATCCCACTTGGTCATGGTGAATAATCCTTTTAATGTACTGTTGGATCCTATTGGCTAGTATTTTGGTGAGAATTTTTTCATCCATGTTCATCAGGGATATTGGTTTGTAATTGTCCTTTTTGATGGGGTCTTTGGTTTATGTGATCAAGGTAATGGTGGCCTCATAAAACGAGTTTGGAAGTTTTTCTTCCATTTCTATTTTTTGGAACAGTTTCAGAAGAATAGGTAGTATCTCTTCTTTAAATGTTTGGTAGAATTCCCCTGGGAAGCTGTCTGGCCCTGGGCTTTTGTTTGTTGGGAGATTTTTGATCACTGCTTCAATTTCCTTAGTGGTTATAGGTCTGTTCAGGTTTTCTATTTCTTCCTGGTTCAGTTTTGGTCATTGATATATCTCTAGGAATGCATCCATTTCTTTTTCCCATTGGATATTCTTTCCTGCTTTGTCAAATATTAATTGACCATATAGTTGTGGGTTTATTTCTGGGTTTTCTATTCTGTTCTATTAATCTCTTGTCTGTTTTTGTGCCATTACCATACTGTTTTGATCACTGCAGCTTTGTAATATAACTTGGAATTGTGATGCCTCCAACTTTGCTTTTCTTTTTCAAGATTGCTTTGGCTATTTGGGGTCTTTTATGGTTCCATACAAATTGTAGGGTTGTTTGTTTTAGCTCTGTGAAAAATGCTTTTGGTATTTTTGTAGGGATTGCATTAAATGTGTAGATTGCTTTGTGTAGTGTAGACATTTTAATAATCTTTGTGCTTCTAATCCGTGAGTATGGAATGTTTTTCTATTTCTTTGTGTCAGCTTCAGTTTCTTTCATTAGTGTTTTATAGTTTTCAGAGTACAGGTTTTCTTTTCACCTCTTCGAAGATTTTATTTATTTATTTGACAGAGAGAGAGACAGTGAGAGAGGGAACACAAGGAGGGGGAGTGGGAGAGGGAGAAGCAGGCTTCCTGCCGAGCAGGGAGCCCCATGTGGGTCCTGGGATCATGACCTGAGCTGAAGGCAGATGCTTAACGACTGAACCACCCAGGTGCCCCATTCTTTTCACCTCTTTGGTTAGATTTATTCTTAGGTATCTTATGGTTTTTGCTGCAGTTGTAAATGGGACTGAGTCTTAATTTCTTTTTTTGCTGCTTCATTATTGGTATATGGAAATGCAACAGATTTCTGTACATTGATTTTTGTATCCTACAACTTTACTGAATTTATCAGTTCTAGCAGTTTTTTGGTGCAGTCTTTGGCATTTCTGTATAAACTATCATGTTCTCTGCAAGTAGTTTAAGTTTTGACTTCTTCCTTTCCCAATTTGGATGCCTTTTATTTTTTGTTGTTGTTGTTAGATGTCTGATTGCTGAGGCTAGTATTTCCAATAATATGTTAAATAACAGAGGCGAGAGTGGACATCCCTGTCTTGTTCCTGACCATAGAGGAAAAGCTCTCAAGTTTTTCCCCATTGAGGATAATATTAGCTATGGGTTTTTCGTAGATGGCATTTATTATGTTGAGGTATGTTCCCTCTAAACCTATGTTGTTGAGGGTTTTTTATCATCAGTGGGTGTTGTACTTTGTCTACTTTGTCAAATGCCTTTTCTGCATCTTTTGAAAGGATCATATGGTTCCTTTCCTTTCTTTCATTAGTGTGGTGTATCATGTTGATTGACTTGTGAATATTGAAACACCCTTGCAATTCAGGAATAAACCCCACTTGGTCGTGGTGAATGATGTTTTTTAATGTATTTTTGGATTTGGTTTGCTAGTATTTTATTCAGAATTTTTGCATCCATGTTCGTCAGGGATATTGGCCCATCCTGTTTTTTAGTGGAGTCTTTATCTGGTTTTAGTATCAGGGTAATGCTGGCCTCATAGAATGAATTTGGAGGTTTTCCTTACTTTTCTATTTTTTGGAATAGTTTGAGAAGAATAGGTATTCACTCTAAATGTTTGGTAGAATTTGCCTGTGAAACCATCTGGCCCTGAACTTTTGTATCTTGGGAGATTTTTTATTACTGATTCAGTTTCTTTGCAGGTTACCAGTCTGTTCAAGTTTTTCTTTCTTCCTGTTTCAGTTTTGGTAATTTTTGTTTCTAGGAATTTATCCATTTCTTCTAAGTTGTCCAGTTTGTTGGCATATGGTTTTGCATAATACTCTCTTGTAATCATATTTCTGTGGTGTTGGTTGTTATTTCTCCTCTTCTATTCATGATTTATTTGGGTCCTTTCTCTTTTCTTTTTGATAAGTCTGGCTAGAGGTTCATCACTACTTTTATTGATTTTTTTTTTTTTCTTTCAAAGAACCAGCTCCTGTTTTCATTGATCTGTTGTTTATTTTAGTTTCTATATCATTTATTTCTGCTCTAATCTTTATTATTTCCTTCCTCCTGCTGGCTTTAGGCTTCTTTTGTTGTTCTTTTTCTAGCTCCTTTAGGTGTAAGGTTAGGTTATTTATATGAGATTTTTTTCTTGCTTTTTGAGATAGGCCTGTGTTGCTATATACTTCTCTTTTATGACTGCTTTTGCTGCATCCTGACGATTTTGGACCGTTCATTGTGTTTTCATTTTCATTTGTTTCCGTGTATTTTTTTTTATTTCTTTGATTTCCTGGTTGACCCATTCATTGTTTAATAGCATGTTGTTTAACCTCCATGTATTTGTGGTCTTTCCAAATTTTTTCTTGTGGTTGACTTCTGGTTTCATAGCATTGTGCTCAGAAAAGGTGCATGTTGTGATTTCAGTCTTTTTATATTTGTTGAGGTCTCTCTCTCTTTTTTTTAAAAGATTTTATTTATTTATTTGAGAGAGAAAAAAGAGCCAGAGAGATCATGAGTGGTGGGGGGGAGGGGCGGGGGCGAGGGAGAAGCAGACTCCCTGCTGAGCAGGGAGCCTGATGTGGGGCTGATTCCCAGGACACTGGGATCATGACCTGAGCCAAAGGCAGATGCTTAACTAACTGAGCCACCTGGGCGCCCCTGTTTGAAGCCTCTTTTGTGATCTAATATGTGATTTGTTCTGGAGAATGTTCTGTGTGCACTTGAAACGAATGTGTATACTGTTGTTTTAGGACAGAATGTTCTGAATATATTTGTTAATTCCATCTGGTCCAGTGTGTCATTCAAAGCCACTTCCTTTTTTATATTCTGTTTAGATGATCTGTCTGGTGATGTAAGTGGGGTGTTTCCATTTTAATAACTTTGGCTTGTACTCTGGGTGAGATGGGAAAGGAAGCCCTTGGAGAGTTTGAAGCAGAGGAGGGTCATGACCTAGTTTATATTAAAAAAAAAAAAATCACACCGGTTGCTATCTTAATAAAGGATAGGGGACTAAGGGTGCAAACAGGAAGACCAAGTGGAAGTCTTATTGTGATACCAAGTTAAAGCTGATGGTGGCTTAGACGAGAGTGGTAGCAGGGAAAGTTGTGAGAAATGGTTGGATTCTGGATATATTTTGAAGGTCAAGCTGAGGGGATTTATTGGCATATTAGAGTGGGGTATGAGATTGAGGAGTGTGAAGGCTGACTCCAAGGATGACTCCAGGAATTTGGCCTGAAAAAACTGAAAAGAGCCGCTACTAATGAAGATAGATAAGACTGCAGGAAGAGCAGGTTTTGGAGAGAAATATCAGGAGTTTGGTTCTGGATGAGTTAACTTTGGCATGTCTATGAGATTAGTGTTTTCTGACTATGAAAATTGACGGAGGACTGGTTTATTTTCTCTTAGTATGTCACAGACAGATACTTTTGAATATCACAATAATAATGAATTAATAAAAAAGTAAAATTAATGAAAACAATGTTCATGGCCAAATTTCTTCTTATTAAAGCCAACAAACATAGTATTGCTCTGTCAAGTTTCTAAACACCTACTCTTAATTTTTGTATTTATGTTACTGTTGTTGGCTAGTAATAAACAGTTTGTGAACCACACCAGTAATAAACAGTTTGTGATCTACACTTTGAGTATCTTTGTTTTATTTTTTAATTTTTTTTTATCTTTATAAGATTTTTATTTACTTGAAAGAGAGAGAGCGCAAGCGAGCACGAGCAGGGGCGAGGGGCAGAGGGAGAGGGAGAAGCAGACTCCCTGCTGAGCAGGGAGCCTGATGCCAGACTTGATCCCAGGACCCGGGGATTATGACCTGAGTTGAAGGCAGACATTTAACCAACTGAGCCACCCAGGTGCCCCTGAGTAGCATTGTTTTAAACATCAAGCAGAGAGATATTGAATAAACAGTCAAATATATAAATAATGAAGTTTATTAACATGTATACTTTATGTTATACATGGGAGATATGCCGGTAAAAATGAGTAACTTCCTAAGGTGGCTTAGAATCAACTTAAGTACCATATTAATAGGGAAAGGAGAAGAGGAACATAGGCTTCTTAGGACAGAGAGTAGTTGATTTTTGGGAAGATGAATGGGCCCTTAGAAGAATAGAAGGGTGTGATAGTTTATAACCAAGTTTGTCTGGCTATAAGGATGGCTTTTAGTCTCTTCTCCTGTGATGAGTCAATTTTTTCTGGTTGATGAAAATCCCAGGGAGGGGGTTTATGACAATTGAGTTCCTTCTGTTTTTGGACAGATAAGGGGAGAGCCTCTCCCTGCTTTTGCTGTTTTTCAAGTGTCTACAGTTCAAAATAATCAGTATATCAAAGCAGCATATTTTGAGGCAGCATGTCCTAAACTTCCACAGTCATATTTTGGGATGGCATATTCTGCTACCCTTCATTGGAATGGCAGTATAGAAGGTAAGATAGGAATTTTAGGAGTAATAAAAATTTTACTTTAGATAGACCTAACAATAAATTTAGGTCTAGGATATGATTAGCAGTAATTGCTCTGGGCTGTTTACCTGCCCATTGCCCTTTAGTGACAAATAATACCTGGAGTTTCTCATGTATGTGTAAACTAAGCAAACGTTTTTGGCATCACAACCATTATGAAACCAAAGACATTAGGATTGCCCTTTGCATTTTACCACAGTCTGTTTTGGTTTAAATTGCCATTTTGCTGCTACTTTTCCTATTCCGTAGTATCCTGGATTCTGATTTGTAATCTGATTTCACCATTTTGGGGTGAGTGGAAAAAGTGTGCTTTGATCTACAAGTCTCTTACAATTGTATTTGGTTATTTTTAAATCATTTTTATTTCAGGTTGTGAAACAGTTTCGTAGTGGTGGTTATAATACATTGGTTTCTACTTGTGTTGGTGAAGAAGGTTTGGATATAGGAGAAGTTGATCTTATAATATGTTTTGATGCCCAGAAGAGCCCAATTCGTCTTGTACAACGAATGGGTAGAACTGGCCGCAAACGTCAAGGCAGAATTGTTGTTATCCTTGCCGAAGGACGAGAAGAACGTGTAAGTGGACTTGTAGAAACATGATTTGATAATTGAAATTTGAGAAATGTAGCTTAAGGTAAATATCAGTCTGTTAACGTTCAAAGTCCAAACAATCTGTAGGAAATTGTGGTTGATTTTTTTCCCCTACTTTGTAGTAGATTCTGAGTATTCTTTTCTTGTAATTAGGAGAATTTTTTAACTGGATTCAGTTTTGTAACTTTTATCCACATAAAATGCATTTTTCTACTTCAGTAGTAATTTAAAGATACTTAGAGAAATCAATATGTATTATTTTTTTTAAATATTTGAAAGTTCTTTAGTTTTTTTTTTTAAGATTTTATTTATTTATTAGAGACAGACAGAACACGAGTTGGGGGGGCAGGGAGAAGGAGAAGCAGGCTCCCTGCTGAGCAGGGACCCGTAAGGGGTGGGGCTGGGGGGAGGGGGCTCAATCCCAGGACCCCAGGATCAGGACCTGAGCTGAAGGCAGATGCATAACCGACTGAGCCACCCAGGTGCCCCTCAATATCTATTTTGTTTTACTATTTCCCTGTGCTTCTAAGTCCTGTTTCTTGTTTTTAATTTAGTTTTTTCTTTTATTTTAAATACAGTGAACTGAGAATGGTTTTACATTTTAAAGAGTTGCCCAACCAACCAACCAATCAACAACAATATGTGCCAGAGATATTATGTGGCCTGCAAAACCTAAAATATTTACTTTCTGGCCCTTTATGGAAAAGTTTATTGATGCCATACAAAGTGATAAGGAACTTAAATTATATTCATACTTTGCTACAATCTTGAGTGACAGACCTTCCTGAATTATGATGTTATACCTAATATTATTTTGTTTGTTACAGTAAAGTTATCAACTAACTTGTAACTCAGTGGGACCATTTCCTTGGGCAAATATGTAGGTTTATATTAAAGATCTTTTCATTAATTATGGCAGTTATAAAAAATTGATTTAAAATGTTTTATAGACTCTTTAAAAATCATCCTGAAAAATGACTTTTTCCCCTGATACTTTTCATGTGATTATAGCATATTATGTAACATTCATTTTATCTATAAAATGATTCCAATAAATTAAATATCTGGCAGCTTGTAAAAAATCTAGTACTATCAGTGTGTGGAATTAGGTTCTGTGTTAGCTTAGGCAAACCACTTAACCTATGTATTCATATGTTAGTTTTCTTATCTGTAAAATAATCATAATGGTCCACATTTAATGAGTACCTACTCTCCTGGGCAGTGTTCTAAGTGCGTCAGATGCATTATTTCATTTAATCCTGTACAGGGAATAATGTTTTTCTTGTATACAGTGAAGAAAGCTGAAGTGTAGGGAGATGAAGTAACAAGCTGGAATACGGGAATAGTATTAGAAAAAAAGGCAGTTTACACTTAATATATATAAATATTCACCTTATTCAAAAATAGAAAGATCCTAAATAAAAGGTAGATTTCCTTTGTGCGATATAGTTATGAAGATAGGCTTTTTTTTTTTTTTTTTTTAAAGATTTTATTTATTTATTCGAGAGAGAGAGAATGAGAGATAGCACGAGAGGGAAGAGGGTCAGAGGGAGAAGCAGACTCCCCGCTGAGCAGGGAGCCCGATGCGGGACTCGATCCCGGGACTCCAGGATCATGACCTGAGCCGAAGGCAGTCGCTTAACCAACTGAGCCACCCAGGCGCCCAAGATAGGCTTTTATAATACTAAATTTTGAACTGATTTTCAAGAGTTAATTGAACAGGTCTCAATTCAAGATAACAGATAGTCTCAGTATTTAAGTGGATCAGAGTTTAATTTACTGTTTATAATAAATCCAAACAAATATAATAACTTCTTATTATGGCTAAGTGACTATTATAGAAATAATGTAATTGACATTTTTCTTTGCAGACTTATAATCAAAGTCAGTGCAACAAAAGAAGTATTTATAAAGCTATTTCAAGTAACAGGCAGGTTCTTCATTTTCACCAAGGAAGTCCACGAATGGTTCCTGATGGAATCAATCCAGAATTACACAAAATGTTCATCACATGTGGTGTCTATGAACCAGAGAAGCCTCGGAACTTGCAGCGGAAGTCCTCTCACTTTTCCTATAAGAAGGGTAAATAAAAAACTTTGCATTGGAGCCATGTATTTTTTTTTCCTGTTGTTAGCAGGCCATATGTTGATATGTTTCCTTTTTGAGAAACTCAGTATACATTCTAGGATGTTGTGGGTGTTGGAAAGAATAAGAGATTATTCCTGTGGCAAAGGGAAGGAGACAGTGACAGAACAGAGTGAGGGAAAATTAAAATGTCCTACCAACCCAGAGAATCCTCTTTACAAAATGTAGAAAAGGAAGAAAACTTTTATTATCGAATAAGCACTGAATCAGATTATAGTGTGCATCGTAAACAATCCACTAAGATAATACAAAGACGGAAATGCTACCCTATACATACCTTCAGGCAGTTATGATTCTTTACATACATATTCTCAAGATTAATAGTAACTTGTCCTATGAGAGGATAGCACCTTTTGCTGTATATACTTTCATAGTTCATCCCCAAATCACCTGGTAATTGAGGTAGCCATTTGTGTTAGCTTTGTTGCCTTTATTCAAAGAAATAATAAGACTTCTGTTATCTTTGCATGCATATAGTGAAGAGAATGGTGCCTAGGCTAAACTTCCCTGTTGACTGGGAGATAGGGACACTATCTTCCTTGATGTTTACACTGCAGAGAGCGATCCTACATCCTTAAGAAAAACATCTATAGTTGAAACGCTAACTAGAGGCTTGCTCAGACTTCACAGAGATTTGCATATAACATCAAAGAGTTAAAGAAAAGATTTAAAAACATTAGGTGTCTCTGGAATTGCTTTAAGAAAAGGAGACAGAATGGTTTCTTTCCCTTTCTGCAGAAGAGAAAACAAATTCTTTTAATTTACATGGGATCGTGTCCAAGGTAGACCAAGTTCCTGGTGATTCTGAGTCAGTGAGAAATTCTTTGGTGCCAGGGAGCGTAGCTAGTAATGAGAGTGTTACTACTTTAAGAACTACAGAGATTTTGGTGATACCAAGAAAATATCTTGAAATTTTAATACTATGAAGATGAGAAACTAAAATTTTTTTCTTTTAAATTTTACTTAATCTTTAATTAGGGCTTTTAAAGAATCATAACATTATAGATATATTTTAAGATTTGGAAGGAACATTGGGGGTCATCCGGTCAAATTACCTATCAAGATAGGAGTGGTTTCTGCAGCAATTTTTTAAATAATATTTTAAGAAGAACAATGTCATTTTGTTAACTATAAGCACTATGTTATACACAGATCTCTAGAATGTATTCATCTTATGTAACTGGCACTTTAGATACTTCAAGCAACAATTCCATTTTTCTCTCCACCCAGCCCCTGGCAACACCATTCTATTCTCTGCTTGTATGAGTTTGGTTATTTTAGGTATCTCTTATAAGTGGAATCATGCAGTATGTGTGCTTCTATGACTGGCTTATTTCACTTAGCATAATTTCCTATAGTTTCCTTCATAGGAAATGGTAGGATTTCTTTTTTAAGGCAGAATAATATTCCATTGTATGTACATGCCACATTTTTTTTTTAAAGATTTATTTATATGAGAGAGTGCACAAGCAGGGGGGAGGGGCAGAGGGAGAGGGAGAAGGATACTCCCCACTGAACGGGGAGCCCGATGTGGGGCTCTATCCCAGGACCCCGAGATCATGACTCAAGCTGAGGGCAGACTCTTAACCAACTGAGCCACTCAGGCACCCCACCACATTTTTTGTATCCATTCATCTGTCAGACATTTGGATTGCTTACATCTCTTGCATATAGTGAATACTGCTACCGTATACATGGGGTACACATATCTCTTTGAGATCCTAATTGCAGTTCTTTTGGATATATACCTAGAAGTGTAATTGCTGGATCCTATGGTACTTTTAATTTTTTGAGGAACCTTCATGCCATTTTCTCTAACGGCTACACCTCTCTACTACCACACCAACAGTATATAGGGATTTTAATTTTTCCATATCCTCACCAACACTTGTTATGTTTTGATCTTTTGATAGTAGGCATCCTAACAGGTGAGAGGTGATGTTTCATTGTGGTTTTCGTCTGCATTCAGTGTTCTTGTTAAATGCATGTTCAGCCTCAACTTGAATATCTGTTAATGGAAATTGTATTTCATTATAAGGGTTTATTCCCTATGTAGAAACGCTGTATAGAAGAAGATTCTTTCTCATGTTGAAAAATCTGTCTTTCTACCTTTTTCTCATTGATTTAGTTTTATCTTCTAGATACAAAAAATGGTTTCGATCCGTTGTTTACCTGTGTAGCAGTTCTTTATGTATTTGAATATAATATCTCTCAAGTTTAACTCTTGGTTCCACTGGTTTTCATACCATGAAGTTTCAAGATCCTTTCCCTCCTAGTCACTTGCTTTGGATTCACTTAAATTTGTTAATGTTATTTCCCTTAACTCAGAGCTGTAAATCAATGCTTTTTGGATATGCCTATTAAACCTCATACAAATCTACTTAATAGGAATATGCCTGTCATTTTACAACATTTTGCCAAATCTTTGGTTAAAGTGAAAAGATTTTATGTACAGTTGATTCTTGAACAACACTGATCTGAACTGTGTAGGACCAATCCTATGCAATTTTTTTCAAATTTACAAATACAGTTCAGTACTGTAAGGGTACTTTCTCTTACGACTTTCTTAATATTTTTTCTACTTTTATTATAAGAACATGGTAAATAATACATAAAACATACAAAACATATGTGTTAAATGACTGTCTATGTTATCAGTAAGGCTTCCAAACAAGAGAAGGTTATTAGGACTTAAGTTTTTGGGGAGCCAAAAGTTAACTGCCGATTTTCAGCTAGGGGCTTGGTACCCCTAACCCCTGCATTGTTTAAGGGTCAACTGTATTTTGGATTCTTTTGAATTTATTTATTTAACTTGATTAAAGTTTGCATAGATTATTCTTAGTGATCATTATATTTTTATAAATGTTAAAATTAACCATATGTTTAATAATTGTTTCTAAAATGTAACTAGAGATGGATGACATATTTCTTTAGTAAAATTTGAGAACCTTTTTTTTTTAATTGAGACAATATTGGCTCATGTTTATTTTTTGTGCTTTTTTTTCCCATTCTCCCTGATTTTTCAAGTGTTAGGGATTCAACTTGCTAAGGTTGCATATATAAATGTAATCTTCTGTAAATTAGCATAATTCATCTGGGCTTAGAGATCTGAACTTACTTAAAGTGACTAAAAGAGAGGAATGCTTTCCTATTTTAAAAAAGTCTCAGATTGTTAGATCTAAGAGGAGCCTGAAAGATCACTTAGTTCAAACCCCTTATTTTACAAAAGCATATTCTTATGTTTGGAAATAGCTAAGACAGAAGTTTCCTGATTCCTAATTCAGTTGTCTTTCTGATTTTTTTTTTCTGTCCTCATTTGTATTAGACCAGAGTTATTACTTTATACTATTTACCCTTTTTCAGTTTGCTGATTATTTTCCTCTATAGAGATTATGGAAGTTAGAAAGGGTTAATTTAATATAATTTTTTTAAAAAAGTATATTGTCATTTTTTAAAGCAGTAGGTCTTTTCTATCTACCTCTACCCCCCCATTTAAGACTTAAGTTAAAAATCCTTTTTAGTCTTGACGTCTTCCCCCACCCCCAACCAAGCTTCAAATAATCTTTCAGATAACAATGATAGAATCATACCAGTTTTCATTTGTAAGTTTTTTTGACTCTTTTGTGCCAGGTCTTAGATACAACATGGAGAGAGTCCAAAAGAAACCAGGATTGAGAGCCTACCTACCTGGCTCTGTTACATTAATGAAGTCATTATGGAAAGTTAGCTCCTGAACAGGAGGCTGTACTAGTACTTTCAAAGAGGTGAGAAAAGTGATAACCAGGATGATTATGTGAAAAATACTGGTTTTAAGGAATAGAATCAGTGGTTTAGTAAAGATGAATAGATATAAACAGGTGGAGAGTTTGAGTTGATGTTGTATATTTTGTGTTTGCTTAGCAGATTTTTTTAAACTTCTTTTCAATTACTTTTTCAACTTACAGGAATGAAGCAGAGTAATTCAAAGAAAGATTGGTTCTTATCAGCAGAAGAATTTAAATTATGGAACAGACGTTACAGGTTAAGAGACAGTGATGAAATTAAAGAAATAACATTGCCTCAAGTTCGGTTTTTATCTTTAGAAAATGAGGAAAACACAACAGTAAGTTGAACATGTTTTCAGATACTCTTTATAATGATTATACAGTAGATTTGGGAGTAGAGAGAGTGTTCATGATCAGAATGTCAAGTTGCTTAAAAAATTACGAATGTAACAGTTTAAAAAGAATATTAAAGTCTAAGTTTGTAGAACTAATTTTCTTATATTCTTTATTGTGTATATATTTTTACTTGAGTGTAATAATATACATAATATCTGCTCTTTTCCCATTACTTTCTACTATACGAGCATTTCCACATAGGCATCCTTTACATAATTGTTATGTTACTTTGCATTATACTGTGGTTTGCTTGACTGTTTATTTTCCTGTTATGTTTTCAAATTCTTTTCAGTGTTACTAACATAAAATTATGCTGTCATGAGCGTCTTTGTACAACTTTTTTTTTTTGAGATTGTGTAGAACTTTAAATTGGATGTTATTATTTCTCTTATTATGAACAAATTATTGGTGAACTTAATAAAAGTCAAGAGACTTGATCAAAGGTTACATATATGCCTAGAGAGCTGGAAAAACAACCTCAGGAAAGATTCCTTTTAGAAGATTTATAGGGTTTGAAATACGGCTATTCAGAATTTATATTCATTTACTACCAGGGAAAAGTGAGGAACGGCAGCATGAAAAAATTAAGATCATTATCACTGAGAGGTTATGAATGCCTCTCTATTAGATGAAGATATAAATCTAGCACAACAGTACTTTTGAAACTACACATTTTCTTAAATATTTGCTCTTAACATGGAACTGTATAAACAGGAATATAACCAAGTACTAACTCAAATAATAGTTACTTTCAAAATGTATTTAAAAGGGCATTTTTGTACTTTATGAAATTAGTTTCTTTAGCCTCCAGAGATTTTAGTTGAAAATACTCAAATGAATTCAGATTTTTTATGTTAGGCTTATTATCTGTATATTGTTTTTTAATCAGTTTATGAATTCTGAGTATGTGTATTTATCATATTTATTATTTTTAAAATCATTAATCAAGACTCAAGAACCAACCATTGGAATTCATCTACTGTCTCTTTCTGAATGGAGAGTGTGGCAGGATCATCCTTTTCCTACGTATCAAGTTGACCATTCAGATCGATGCCACCATTTTATAAGCATTATGCAAATGATAGAAGGAATGAGACATGAAGAGGTAGGGTTTTATTGCAACTTTCTCTTGCTGGGTATGATTGTGAAAAGAATACTTGATATTTATTCTTAATTATTTTATGAATTATTTATTTATTTGAGAGAGAGAGCACGTGGGCAAGTTGGGGGGAGGAGAAGGGGGAGAAGGGAGAGAGAGAATCTTAAGCAGACTCCTCACGGAACACAGAGCCTGGCTCGGGGCTTGATACCACAACCCGACCAGAGATCAAGAGCTGGTTGCTTAACTGACTGAGCCACCCAGGCACCCCTGTTCTTAATTTGAAATCATTATTATAAGAAACAAGTATTTAATGTAAAGAATTATATTAGAATATTTTGTTTTTTTTATAAAGTTTCTTGTGACTCAGTAGGGAACCAGCTTTCTGCCTTAGGTGAAGAAGTAGACTTAATTAGAAGAATATCATCTGTCAATATAGATAAACCAGAGTAAAATTTTAATATACTTAATGATTTATATAAACCATTAGTAAAGCCAATTTAGCATTCTTGCTAGACTGGATTTATTGAAATATTCTCCATCACATAGGTCATTTGGTATGTCTTTTATATCCTGGTGGTAGTTTAGGGAATTATTGATTCCTTGAGAAGCTACTTGATTATTCTTCCTTGGGAGAATCAGAATGATGAACCTACTCCAATTATGAAATCCAAAATTACTGGGTTAGAAACCCAGGTCTACCTCTTACTAATCATACAAGTTAACCTCTTTGGGCCTCCGTTTCTCTGTAAAATGGGAATAATGATAATACTTTCTTCATAGAGTTGTTGCGAGGATTAAATGAGTTAATATGTGTAGAGCGTTTAGAACAGTAACAGGCACATTCAATAGATTGTAACTGGTATTTTTATTATTAGCTATTATTCATGAATACATATAAATAGAGTAATTAGTTGTGGATCCCAGCAAAACCTATGCTATCAAATTAACACATATTTATTTAGTGCCTTCTGTATGTCCTCTTCTATTCCAGGCCCTGTGGTTCATCAGTGAAGAAGACAGATGAAATATTCTGTCTGTGGGGAGCATATACACTAGCAGGGAGACAACCTTCTCAAATTAATATTTATTGTATTTATTATTTATTGTTCAAAAATTAGAGAGTTAACTGTTTAAGTCCCTGAATAGTAGAGGAATCCTGACCAAAGTAGCCACTCAACGGGAAGAGAGGAGGGTAGGTCAGGAGTTGGGGGGACTATAGTTTTAGATTTAGTGATAAGTACGCTTTAGAAATTTACTGTAAGAGTTCTTTGGTGCCTGGGTGGTGCAGCTGGTTAAGTGCCTGACTCTTGGTTTCAACTCAGGTCATGATCTCAGGGTTGTGAAATCAACTCCACACCAGGCTCTGTGCTCAGTACAGAGTCTGCTTAAGACTCTGCCTCTGCCTCTGCCCCCACCCCCAGTCTCTCTCTCTCTCTCTCAAATAAATAAATAAATCTTAAAAAAAAAACAGAAAAGAAAGAAATTTACTGTAAGAGTTCTTTGTTGGAAAATTTGTTAAAAATAGTATATTTCGGCCTACAGCCTAATGAATTTACAGGTACACTTATTTCAGATGTTCCAAAAGTTATTCTTAGTTCTTACCCTTATCAAGAGGGTAAATTTAACACATGTGTGTGTAGTTTTCATTTATATATATTGATTACTAAATATCTATTTTTATGAAATTAGAATATTCAATTAAATGTTAGAAGTGAAGAACTTAGTGCTTATAATATTTATTTTTGAAGATTTATTTATTTGAGAGAGTGTGAGTGCAAGTTGGGGGGGAGGGGGAGAGGGAGAGGAGAAGTAGACTCCCTGCTGAGCTCAGAGCCCGATGTAGGGCTCGATCTCAGGACCCTGAGATCATGACCTCAGCTGAAACCAAGAGTTTGTTGCTCAACTGACTGAGCCACCCAGGCACCCCTATAATCTTATTTTATGTATTTATTAAATTTGTTCTTTCTGCAAATAGTTATCATAGGTCTTTCATGTATTAAGTTCTGAGGATACAAAAATATTAACTGATTAAAGATAATTTATGATAATTACACAGTAGTGCCATTTATAATTTTGTTTGATTTATTTGAATAATTTTTAAGTTAGGGGCACCTGGGTGGCTCAGCTGGTTAAGCATCTGACTCTTGGTTTTGGCTCAGGTTGTGATCTCAGGGTCATCAGATAGGTCCCCCTTACGGGCTCCCCGCTCAGCGCAGAGTCTGCTTGGGATTCTCTCTCTCCCTCTGCCCCTCCCCCTCTCATATGTGTTTGTGCTTCCTCTCTCTCTCTCTCTCTAAAATAAATAAAATTTTTTTTAAAAAGAATAATTTTTAAGTTATAAAAGAAAATCATTTGATTTTGAGTAATCATTTGAGTAATGTAATATTGTTTAGAAAATAACATAAAGTAGAACTCATTTCTTACTAATGGCTCTTATTTCTTGTGATTTTTTTTTTCATTTTCCTTCTTTCTAGGGAGAATGCAGCTATGAATTGGAAATTAAATCTTACTTACAAATGGAAGATGTTAGCTCAATATTTAGTGCTCCCAGGAATGAATATAATCCTCTTGCCAATGGCACCTTTACTAGTAACAAGAAATCTTCATTTTCAAGGAATATAAATCAAGGCAGTTCATTCTCAATGACAAAATCTGATGAAGAATGTGCTGAAATTTTTAAACAAACTCATATCAAACCTGTTAAAATTGCTTCTCTAAAAAAAAAAGCCTCTAAAGAATTTAAAAAAGATCAGCCTTATATAAAAGGAAATAATGATGTTGTTATGGATTCTTTAGATACTGATGGAAGTACTACTATTGAAAATATTTTTCAGGTAGACCTACTAAATGATAAAAGGGCATCAGATACAGATGAAGTTGCGGCTGCCATATGTGCTATTCATGAAAATGTTAATCAGCCGCGTGGATTAATGGAATGTCAAATTACAAATAAATCTAGTTCGTTTCTTGGAAATTTTTTAGATTCTGGTTATAACAGTTTCACTGATGAGAAATATGTTTCATCTAGCTTATTTCTTCCATTTGAGGAAGAGCTTTGTGTAGCTAAAAGAGATGACCAATTTTATAATTGTCTTTCACTAACAAAAGAGATACTAGCTAATGTAGAGAGATTTTTATCTCATTCTCCTCCACCTCTCAGTGGACTCTCAAATTTGGAATATGAAATTGCTAAAAGTTGTGAACTTGATCATTTGCCCTTCCTACCTTACACCGAGTATTTACAAAATGATAAATCTACTTGTTTGATGTCATATTTACCTGTAAATTCTCAACAGGATTTAGAATTGAATTCACTTAAATTTAATAATCATCCTTCTGAAAAAAGTTGCTTTTATAGTGCAACTAATGATAAGATTTCTGATGAGCCAAGTTCCTATGACTATGTTGATAAAGTACATAAAGATAATAAAAATGAAAATATAGTATCCAGCAACCATATTCAAATAAACATAGGCCCTCCAAAGTATTTAGTTGAAGAAAAAATTTGTGATATGGATAACAATGGCCCGCCAATATTGCTCACTGATCAGGATGAAAGTTTACCACTCTTCAAAGATGGTAATACAAAGTTTAATGACATGAGCCTTTCTCCCTCAAACAATAAATATAAATCTTCATGTGTGTCAGACAAAACTGCTTTAAGTGAAATGGCACTGGTCTCTCACTTCTTAATTTCTGATGAACTATTGTTAGATGATAATTCTGAACCCCAAGATCAAATTATCTGTGATACTAATAGTTGGAAATCTCATGAAGATTTAAAAGGTGTACATAAGGAAAAACTGAAGCATGATGAATATGTTTTTGACTGCTCTAAGGACTTATTTTCTGTTACTTTTGATTTAGGATTTTGTAGTCCAGATTCTGATGATGAAGTATTAGGACATGCATCAGATAGAAATAAGAATAAATTTTTAGATGATCTCTCTGGAAGGTGTTTAGATATTAAGGAGACCAATGATGCAAATTATGTTTCAAATCAAGCAGTAATACCACTAGATCATGTTGCTAGTTCTACGAGTAGAAGTTTTACTATCCCATCAAGTGAAGATAAGTGGAGTCCAAGTTTTGCACATTTTCCACAGAGTGCAGCAAAAAATAAAGAATTTCTGTCTCCTGGTTATTCTCAGTTTTCTTTGCCAGTAGGAGAAAAAGTTATGAGTACACCACTTTCTGAATCAAACACATTGAACTCATTTTCTAAGAGGAAAGAAATGCCTAGGACACCAGATTCTCATAAGGGAAAATTACATCTACAGAGTTTCAAAGAAACCTTGAATTCAACTTTTGGTGATTCAGGACTTTCTGTAGAAAAGACTAAAAGCAGGTCAAAAATCAGTCTTCGTCAATCCTGTCATCCTGTGGAAGGTAAGATTCCATCTTAATAAAACACATAAATCTGGAAAAATTACTCTAGATAAACTTCTGTAATTTTTTAAAATGTGATTTCTCAGTATTTGATGTATTGAATTAGATAATTTATTATATATTTCTTAAGTTGATGCTTACTGATAAAAAGATTTATCTACATATATTTATGGCATGCATGCCATGGGAAAGGTATTATGCTAGATAGTGAAATATAGATTTGGCCTTGGCCCTTGACTGTAAAACCCAAACAACTGTGTGACATATACATTTGAAAAGATACCAGTAAAATGTGGGAATAACTACTAAATAAAAAGGTAGTGGATGTTTAGGAGGTTCAGAAGATGACAGAATTTTGAACTGGATTAGATTGGAAATATAGATTTTTTTAACATAGATTTTAATTTTGGCTCTTCAGGAATATTTGCAATTTGAATATGTTGAAAATAATAGAGAATTTGGATGTTATAAAATGAAAACAAAGGGGAAAAAGGGAAGTATAAGATTTGGAGGGAATAGTATAAAGTAGAAGATTTACATAGAAAGATAGTTGGGGAAAAAAAAAAACAGTTGAGAAACAAGACTGTATTTGGAGGATTGAGGCAAGACCTCAGAAGTTCCAGAGGAATCTCTGGATTTCTGTGATCTATACAGTTACAGAAAAACTAGAAAATATAGTGCTAGATGTTGGTATTAGAATGACTTAAGTATTCTTTAAGTACTGTGATAGAACTCTAGTTTATGTATAGATTATTATGAGCAGGCCATTTATGAATTTTATTCCTTATGATTGAGGAAAAAGTTGTAGGATAAAATGATTTTGCTCTGTAAATCTTTTTATGATGCTATTCTCTTTGGGATCAAAGGCATGATTTATGAATGTTTTATTTAAGACAAAAGCTTCTTGAAAGTAAGTTCTGGAAATATATTTAATTTTTTTAAATTGGGTGTACTCTGGGCGCCTGGGTGGCTCAGTTGGTTAAGCGTCTGCCTTCGGCTCAGGTCATGATCCCAGGGTCCTGGGATTGAGTCCCGCATCGGGCTCCTTGCTCAGCAGGGAGCCTGCTTCTCCCTCTGCTGCTCCCCCTGCTTCTCCTGCTTGTATGCTCTCTCTTTCTCTGTCTCTGACAAATAAATAAATAAAATCTTAAAAAATAAATAAAATAAAATTGGGTGTACTCTGACATATATATATTTTGGTTAAGTTTATGTTACCTGTGAGCCTCCAATATTTGCTTTAACATCTTTATATTAAGTCTCTTAATGGTCGAGATCATTTTTCTATCTTTGTGTCAGATTTGCATTAAACCTTCTAGCATTATACTTAACTACTAACTATGGGCAATGTAATTATGAATACATAATTATTTAATAGGGAATATTTAGTATTTTTTATTATGTTCAGTTAACCACTAAACATCATTAGTTTTTGATGTAGTGTTCAATGTTCAATGATTCATTAGTTACATATATAACACCCAGTGCACATCACAACAGGTAATATTTAGTATTCTTTGAGGATAGATGATACACAATGTTACATTAATTTCAGGTATACAACGTAGTGACACCACATCCCTGTGCTCACAAGTGTAGCTACCGTTTGTCACCATACAACTCTGTTTACTCTAGCATTGACTACATCCCTATGCTGTAGTTTTTATTCCCATGACTTGTTCATAGTATTTTTTACTCCACCTAATTGAAATAGAGGATTTAAGATTATTTGCCATGCTATATGCATACTATAATAGTTCATTAAAGCACCACTAAAGCAGTTGAAAGGAAAACTTCCTGGAATGAGTTGGTTACTATACCTGAGCCTTGCATTTAATTCTAACTTCTTTAGAAGGTAATGAAAAACAAAACTGGTCAATTATACAGTGCTCATCTGTAAAAAGGATTTATTTGTCTGGGTAAATTTTTTTTTTGGCACAGAGTGTGAGGAGAAATTTATTGTGTGAATTTGTATTATTTATTGCTGTGTAAAAAATGACTCCCCCAAACTTAGTGGCTTACAATAACATTTATTTGTAGTTTAGGAATTGGAGACTTGCTTAAGTGGATAGTTGTGGTTGAGGCTTTCTCATCAGGTTATAGGCAAGATTTCACCTGAGGTTGCAGTCACCTGAAGATTTGATGGCATGGAAAATCTGCTTCCAGGATAGCTTGTTCAAAAGTGGGGTGGTGGTGGGAAGGGGAGGCACACAGGAATCTCTGTCCATAGCAATTCTAAAATGCAGCAGAGCTGAGATTGGAAGTTCCTTGATGAGGACTCAAGGCCCAGAAATAACTCCCCATGGTTCTTGGCTTCATCCTTTGGATGCTTGGTCCTTTTTCATAACATGTAGAATTTCCTTAGCTGTTTCCTTTTAGTAAAAATTTGGGGATTTTTATTTTATGGGGATTTTTAAAGACATCTTTTCATTTTATATCGTCTTTGCCCCTTCCTGTTGTTGTAGCTGGCTGTGTTTCTTCCCATAATTCTCATATCTTTGTGGATCTCTTGTGAATCTTATTGGGGTTCATTCCATTACGTACTAGTCATGCTCACAAATCCTTTGGGCAACTCCTCTACTTTGGGTTTCTGCTAAGATGTCTGGAGATAGTTCCTTAATCTTCTTGGAAGGCCTGTTGTTTAAGAGGATTTGTAAAAGACATCCTTAGACTATATAGAGGGCCTTTTATCTGACTGCATGGTACTTTGAGGCACCATCTTTGATCTTTGAGGTCTTAAAGCATTTACAATTTCACCTTCAGCTTCACCTGGATAGTAGTCTCCTGGCAGTCCTCTAGATTAGATCTTTGCCTGGAAGATTTCTTAATTTAGTATTGTTTGCCAACTAGAGAAGCTGGGAGTTTTCAAAACTAGTAAGTCTCAACTGTTTCATGTTTAATAGTCCTTTCTTTAGGACTCACTATAGGGTTGCTTCTTATATCTTTACAGTATAGCGTTTGGCTTCCTCCAAAGTGAGTGATGCAAGACAGACAGCAAGGATGAGACCTCAATAACTTTTATGACCTAGACTCTGAAGTAACCCACCTTCACTTCCATTATATTCTTTTGTTAGAAGCAGGTGACTAAGTCTGGCCCATACTCCAGGGGAGAGGAATTATGATCCAGCTTTTGAAGGAAGGCCTATCAAAGAATTTATGAACATATCTTGAAACAACCACAGGGCTCTTACAGAAGGTTTCCTAAAGACATGGAACGGTATCTGTAATCCGAATTTTATGGAAGTGCAGAAATCGAGCTTTAAGTACCTAAAAATTTGAAGTATTTGATTTTATACATCAGATGTTTGTTGTTATTGTTTTTTCCAAAGATTTTTTTTATTTATTTGACAGAGACATAGCGAGAGAGGGAACACAAGCAAGGGGGAGTGGGAGAGGGGGAAGCAGGCTTCCCGCTGATCAGGGAGCCCGATGCGGGGCTCGATCCCAGGACCCTGGGACCATGACCAGAGCCGAAGGCAGACGCTTAATGACTGAGCCACCCAGGTGCCCCCAGATGTTTGTTTTTAGCATTCTTTCCACCCTCCTGAATACGTTCTAGTTAAAACATTTTGGTGAATATCTTACCAATTTTTATTTCATGCTTGTGTACAAACACATGTATATGTAGACATATGTATATACATATATAAAGAAGAACCTCTTCACATATTGTTTTGTAGCCTACATCTTCATGCTTTAACTCCTTTAGAATGAAAATAAGACACAAAGGGCAGAGAGCGATAGTACATTATAGAGATGAATTCTGGAAACTTTGACTAATAGAATTAGACTTTGCACTCTCCCGGCCTCATTTTGGTTAATTTGTAAAATTGAATCTGAGTCAAAAATGTGGTTATTAGCAAAAGTTATCATCTCTTAATTTTCTCACTGGCACTGTTTTATTTTTCTGTCTCATGCTGATTTTTTGGCCAAACTTCTGAAAAGCTTTTTAAATAATGCACCCATCAATAAAATAGTTGTGATTAGATAAACAAATCTATTGACTGGATTCATTTTTTTAATAAATTATAGATGAACAGTTAACAAGCAATGAAAGTGAAGATGATGAGATTTTCCGAAGAAAAAGTAAAAAAACAAAAGGAAATGTTTTAGAATCCCCTGAGGTGAGTCATTTAATAATCACAATAATGTGATCATGTAAAGACTTTTTTCTCCCTCACCTTAAGTCTTTTTTTTTTTTAAACTTTTATCTAATTATCTACTTTATCTAGGATCAGAAAAACAGTGAAGTTGATTCCCCACTTCATGCTGTAAAAAAACGCAGGGTTCCTCCAAACAGAGTAAGTAGATAATAGATAATGTAATTAAAATTCTTTTAGAGTAATTATTATAAGAAAAATACATGTATAGGTGAATGTAGGTATATATGATCTAATAGGTGTATGGTTAACACAAAAATAGATAGTAAATCCTATGTGATTAGAATTTCTATTTCAGATTTATTCTTCTTTAAAAACTATTTTAGTTAGTATGCTTTAGCAGTTCCCTAAATATCTACTCTATATCTACTGTGTAAGATGCTGGGGACACTACTATAAATATTATATCCTGGTACTGTCTTAAGTCACCTAAAATCTAATAGGAGAGACAGATAAGTAAACAGATAATTTCAATATTTTTATTTATTTATTTTATTCAATATAATTTTTAATAAGTGATAAAAAATGATAAGTCCTTATCCTAGTCCTTGGGAGTTCTGGAAAGTTTCTTGAAGATAATAAATACCCTGGCTAAATCTTAAAGCATATGTGGCAGTGAGGCAAGGGAAAGCATTGCCAACAGAGCAAGCAGCTTAAAGAATGACACGAAGCGGGGAAATAGCATCTTTATTATTAGATGGTAAAGACAAAGACTGCCAGGAAGTAAAATTGGAAAAACATCAGGGTCAGTTTTTGAAAGGCCTTATTCTTTCATTTGCTTACTGACTGGGTTTGAAAGAAGGAAAGGAAGGAGTTCAAGTTGAGAGTCTGTTTCTTGGCTAGGGCTGTTTGGGAATATGTGTCACAAATTTAGAGAAGATAAAAAGATGATAAATTCAGTGTTGAATATGTTTGAGGATTTTGTGGAATAGTGAAGTGACAGTGTCTGGCAGGCATTGGTGACTATTTGAATCTGAAGTTTGGGTAGGCTAATGATGTTCATTTTTTTATCAGCTATAAGCTGATATGTGTAGGAAATGTTGAGATTAGGAAATCTTGTGTTTTTTAATTCTCTAATGTAATCTAGGATAAACTGCAAAAATAAAATAGGTAATCAATTCATACTTTGTATACTCCTATAATACTTCACTAGAAAAATTGCTTTAACTTGCTACCTTAACTCATCATAAATGAATTAAAATATTGATAATGCTGATGATCAATCCATTTTAAAGTAAAATTATTCCTGTTAATTGAAATTATTTTGGTAAATGTCTTTTATTCTTTTGATTGTTTTTATATTATTATTATTTTTTAAGATTTTATTTATTTATTTGAGAGAGAGAGAGAGAATGAGAGATAGAGAGCACATGAGAAGCTGGAGGGTTAGAGGGAGAAGCAGACTCCCTGCTGAGCAGGGAGCCCGATGCGGGACTCGATCCCGGGACTCCAGGATCATGACCTGAGTTGAAGGCAGTCGCTTAACCAACTGAGCCACCCAGGTGCCCTGTTTTTATATTATTTTGTAAGAGATAAAGTAATAGGTTTCGTTTTCAAAATTTGTTACGGTTTTGGGCGCCTGGGTGGCTCAGTTGGTTAAGCGACTGCCTTCGGCTCAGGTCATGATCCTGGAGTCCCGGGATCGAGTCCCACATCGGGCTCCCTGCTCAGCAGGGAGTCTGCTTCTCCCTCTGACCCTCTTCCCTCTCGTGCTCTCTATCTCTCATTCTCTCTCTCTCAAATAAATAAATAAAATCTTTAAAAAAAAAAAAATTGTTACGGTTTTATTGGTTTCTTGGTTTGAAAGGACTCCTGTATGTTTGGACTGATTTTGATACCTATGCTTATAGGCTTAATTTAATTTTTGTAAAGACCTTTAGGATCTTCTAGAGGAGGTAAACTAAAACTACAAGTTTTCATCAAATAAATTTGATATAATACTAAATTGAATGAATACTATACTATGTGTTACTATATAACCTAATTTAGTGTTTTAGTACTTAGCATCACCTAACTTTTAAATTTTTTTTTATAAGATTTTATTTATTAATTTGAGAGAGAGAGAAAGCAGACATGAGTGTGGGTGGGGGAGACTGTTGGGCAGAGGGAGAGGAAGAAGTGAGCCTGACCTGGGGCTTGATCCCAGGACCCTGAGATCATGACCTGAGCTGAAGGCAAATGCTTAACTCACTGAGCCACCCAACCTCCCCTAACTTTTAAATTCGTAAGTATTATGTATTTTTAACATGGCTCTAAGTTGTGAGAGTACTTTATTTTTCTAAAAAAAAATGTTAGGTCAACTATTTAAAAAGAAAAAATTGAAAATAAAACTAATAACCCATGAGAAATACATTAAAATACAATTTGATTATATTTCTTATGCAAGAATTTTATTGAATTATTATAGTTAGAATTATCATCTAGTGATGAAAGTGAGAATTTTCACAAACGACATCCACAATTAGAAGACTTCAGGGATCAGAACAGGACTACAAAAAGGGGCATGAAAGTCCGAAAGAGTCACCTTAAGGTAAACTTTTTTCATTTTCTTATTCATATATATATATATATATACACATATATATATAATTTTGTATATATATTTATATTTAATATATGTTATATATTTACATATATGATTGTATATATAAAGTTATATATATTAATAAAAATTAGATTTTACATAGGAGATTTCTCACTATAATTTCTTCATAGAAAACAATTCAAAAATTCAAAATATTTTGACCCTAATTTTACTTGTTTTACTAAATGGAATTAAAATCTCAAGGTGATAGTTTTGTTTCTTTCTTGTTTTGAAACTATCTGTATTTTGTTATTTTAAATGACTAAATGAAGAAACTTTATTGAAAATTTAAAACCAAATTGAAAAAATAGAGACAGAAATCTTGAGTTTTAGAATATTTGCTTTTACAGTCGTTACATCATTTTTCTTATCTCTATACAATAATCAAATCCTTAGTAAAGAAGTCTCAGCACCTTTTTTTTTTTCTGAATAGTCTTTTTGTGGTGCAGTAGTTTTCCTGGCAAAATTAATTAGCCAAAAGACTTGGGAGACTTTATGCTTATTAAGAAATATTCAGCAAGCTGACATGCTGACTTGTGCTGTATTTTCCTTATAATAGAATTATCAGAAATTTTAAATAGGTGTGCAAAGTTACTTTGTCATTTCTTCTTGCAGTTTTCTTTTTCTTTTTTGTCTTAAAAGCATTGGCAAAAAAAATCCATTTTACAGAACTATTTCCCATTATTTAAGAAAGTAAGTGATTTCCTTAAGGGTGTCTCCATGTTTTCTAATTTGTTACAGCTTGCAGCTAGGAGGTTTTTAGATGACGAAGCAGAACTCTCCCAACAAGAGGCAGAGCATGTTTCATCAGATGAAAATGATGAGTCAGAAAATGAACAAGATTCCTCATTACTTGACTTCTTAAATGATGAAACTCAACTTTCACAGGCTATAAATGGTAAATGATATAATGATGCTTCTTTTTCTTTTAATTTTCAGTGCTTTTAATGTGGTTATATTTAGATATTTGTCAGTTTTTAAAGAACTTTAAAAGGAAATAAATTTGGTATGTATGAAATATTTGGTCACTTTCATTCAAATTCTGTACTATTTGTTATTTTTTTAGACTTGGTTGTTTATAGGTTTCTGCTAATTTGATCATTTCTCACCAGAATGATCTGGCTGGCTCAGTGTCAAATGTTCATTTAACAAGTTTAGTGACTACTGTGTGCTGGTACTATGTAAGGTTCTCAAGAAAGCTGTATCAGTGAACAAAGTGGACAAAAATCTCTGCCCTTATGAAGCTAACATGTGAATGGAAGGAGACAAAGAATACACATAATAACTAAATTATTTAGTATGTTATAAGACAAACAATTTACAGAAAAATGCAAAAAAAGAGTAAGATGAGGATTTGGACTGGCAGGGCCTGGGGGCATTAATAATGGACAAGCAGTAATTTTAAATAAGGTAATTAGAGGCAGGTCTCATTGAGAAGGTGATACATGATCAAAGACTAGAAGGAGATGAGGACTTGAGCACTGCTGATTGTTAACAGCAGATGAGACACAAACCTAAATTTATTAAATTTGCCAAGTAAGGGAGATCTACTTTTGGAAAACAGTGTCTCCAAACAATGCCTGAGTAGATCTTATATATAATACATTAATTGCAGATGATTCAGATTGGCTGTAATAGAAATAGGAAAGATTCTGTGGGCTTCTCAGTGTTCTAATCTTTCACAGATCTTGCCATTTATTCTGCTTTTGTACTCTCTGTCATGATTTAAGACAACAGATTTTCCCAAGGGCTACTTTAAAGACAAAAGGTCTTAGAGACTAAGTTCTTGTTACTGGTATGATTTGCAGAATAAGGATTCTTAGTATTATGCTCTTGATGTTCATGAACGGAGTGGCTTTTGGAGGTTTACAGTATAATCTGATGGGGAATGTTGATGCAAAGACAACAACCAGTAGACAGGCCCCGAGGCAGGAGTGTGCAGCATGTTCCAGGAACAGCTCTGTGACGGGAATTGAACGGTGGAGCAGCGGAGTGGTAGGAAGTGAGATCAGAGAAGTAATGAGTAGCCAGCTCCTGGTCTGACTTATTGCAGCAGTGTCACTCTAGCTTCCGGTGTCGAGAATGGCCTGCAGGGGAGCAAAGGTGGGAGAAGAGACCATTTAGAAGGTAATTGCAGTAATCTAAGGAATGCTAGTGGTGTTTACCAAGGTGGTAACAGTGTGAAGGTGAGAAAGATCGGATTTGGGATATTTACAGCTGACAGGATTTTCTGATGGATTTGAGAAAAAAAAGAGGAGTCAGTGGGTTTGAGCAACAGGAAGGACTTAGTTGTTGTCTGATATTGGGCAGGCTGCAGGTAGAGCCCTTAGGATGGAGAGTAGGGAGATCAGCAACTCCATTTTATTTTTTAAATTTTTCAAAAAGTTTAAAATTTTTTTTAGTAATCTACACCCAACGTGGGGCTCAAATTCATGACCCCAAGATCAAGAGTTGCATGCTGTTCTGACTGAGCCAGCCAGGTGCCCCTGAAACTCCATGTTAGATGTAGTGCATTCGAAATATGGAGGATTTCAGAATTTTTTTGTTTTTTCATTTATATGACATTTGGGAAAAGGTAAAACTATAGGGACAGCAAATAGGTTATTGTTTGTTGTAACGATACATTTGTCAAGACAGAACTGTACCGTAAAGGAAGATGAATTTTACTGTATGTACATTATACCAAAAAAAAAAAATCTATGAAACAAACAAATTCTCTGAAAGCTCCTTGATTCTGAGTTCTTCTAAGAAACTAGAAGTAAGGGTCTCACTAAGTTTATAGGGATTTAGCATGAGCGGGAAGTAATCAGGCGGGTATCTAGTAGTTGATAGCTATGCTGTGGAATGGAGATAAAGGAAATATTATTCAAAGAAAAAATTAAACACCTGGTTCCGAGCCCCATGGTCATTAAATTATCAATGTTATCTCTGAAAATAACCTAAGTTAATTAATCACTCCAAAAAATGTAAGGGAAATGGGAGACAAAAATAAAATTGCTTTCTGATTATAACCTTAAAAAAGAGGGCAGACATTAAAAAAACTTGTGCTTTCCCAGTTTTTGCTTGACTGAAAATTATGAAACATACTTACTATTACCTGTGCCTTTTGATGTTTTTAAGCATATGCTTTCTTTTTCGCCTAAATTTCTTGTGTTTTATTCAGTATTTTCTATATATCAAGTACAGTCCTCAAGTTCTTCATATACATTTATTTTTCATGAAAAGGCACTGTCTTAAAACTCATTTTCAGAGGAAAGAGATAGCTAAGGCAGAGACCTTAAATAAATTGTCACAGTCATCCAACCAGCTGGTCTGATTTCAAAGGTGAAGCTAACTTTACATTTTTTAATAATTGTTTTTAGACTTGTTTCAATACATATTAAATATTTTTTGTGTAAAATAATTCCACAAGGCTTGAATTATGTAAATTTGAGATAGGTCCAAGTTAAATACCTTACTAGTTTTCATTTAATTTTGCTACTTGAAATTCTTATCTTTACACAGATTCTGAAATGAGAGCTATTTACATGAAATCTTTGCGCAGTCCATTGATGAGCAATCAGTATGAAATGGTCCGTAAGAAACATAACAACATAAATATTTTCTCACAGGTATGAACTATAGAAATACAGTGGAGAATTTCCTGATGAGAGTGTTGAAATGTGTTCCTGTTAATGAAGCCTCCATTGTTTCTAAAACTGGATTGTTAGAGTATTAGGGATAATTTCTGCCCTGAGTCAGGAAGGTGGACTCAATGCCTTTTATTCCTAATTTAATCAAATTATACTATCTTCAATTTGAGCCAATTAGAATGTACTATTGAATGGTTTTCCAGTTAGAAGAATATTTAAAAGAAGTGAATAGAACTTCATCATAACTGTTAAATATTTAATTCTTGTATGTTCTCTTGTTTCTCTTGAAAATTATTTTTTATAAAGATGTTATATTCTAAAAATTATAGATTATTTTCCATTTATGGGCAACATTTTCACATTAGTCTTCTTTGTTTACAAATTGCCAATATTCAGCCTGATAATACAGTCATTCATATCTCTATACTTCCATTGTGTTTTTTATGTAGCACTTATCCACATTGTTTATAAATTATTGTTTATTTTTCTGGCTACCTACAATGGACTATAAATTTTTAGAGGGTAAATCATTCTTTTTTTAAATCTCAGTCTCTCCATTTTCTTTCATAAAGAATATAGTCAGTATATGTTGATTGAGTGCAAGTGACTGAATTGATAAAGTAAGTGAAATACTCATAAAGATCCATGTACTTAAAAGAATATGTTAAATACATAATGATTTTATGAAAGAAATTTATAATGTATAATGTATTTTTTACTATAGATTCCTGAGCAAGATGAAACCTACTTAGAAGACAGTTTTTGTATTGATGAAGATGAGTCTTACAAAAGCCAATCAAGTGAAGAAGTGTGTGTTGATTTTAACATAATAACTGAAGATTGCTTTGCAAGTGGGAGTAAAAAATATAAAACCCGACATGCAGTAAAGCTAAAACAAATGGAGATGAGACAAAATTGTGCCCGTTCAAAAAAGAAATTATCCAGAATTATTTTACCAGATGATTCAAGTGAGGAGGAAAACACTGTAAATGATAAAAAAGAATCTAGTATTATGGTTAACCCAAGTACTGTTAATAAGAGCAAACAGCAGGACCATTGTTTGAATATAGTGCGTTTTGGGTCTTCATTGCAGTACAAGGACCATTCTGCTCCAGTTGTTAATCAGTCACCGAAGCAGAGACAACAGACACCACTTCATTTAAAGGATGCAGTTTCTTATGTCTCAGACTTCAAACCTCAGAGCTGTAATAAAATTGAAGCTACCTCACCGTCATTTCCTACTGTTGATTCACAGAAAAACTGTAGAAAATTTCCAATTCATTTGAAGGTATGGATCAAATTATAGAAAAAGCCTTCATATGTTTACTGAAAGAGTTTTTTTGATGTTTTGCTTTTTTTTTTAAGTTTTTTTTTTTTTTTTTTTTATTAATCTCTATACCCAAGTGGGGCTTGAACTCACAAACCCAAAGTCTAGAGTCACATGCTCTTCCAACTGTGCCAGCCAGGTGCCCCTGTTGTTTTGCTTTCTTTTGTGTTTTGTGTTAAATAAGTCAAAGAAAAATTAGCAAGTGGTGAAATTTTTTTTTTAAAAGATTTTATTCATTTCTGAGAGAGATCACAAGTAGGCAGAGTGGCAGGCAGAGAGGGAGAGGGAGAAGCAGGGTTCCCGCTGAGCTGGGAGCCTGATGTGGGCTCCGTCCTAAGACCCTGGGATCATGACCTGAGCTGAAAGGCAGAGGCTTAACGACTGAGCCACCCAGGCGCCCCAGTGGTGAAATTCTTTAAACAAGAAAATAGCACACTAAATTATATTGATAATTCATATAAGGATGCTTAGGTTTTAATTTTTTTAAGTGTGATAATAGTTTTCTTAATAAAACTCTGTAAGGAAACTTGCTAGTTTTATAAAAAGAATGTAGGAAAATGGGCTTCCTGCAAAATAAAGTTAGCAGAAATTACATGCTCAGAACTAGTTCCCCACAGATTAACTTTTCTTTCCCCTGCTTCAGATATGTAACTCTCTCTATTGGGAAGAGAAGTTTAGGGACTACTACCTGATTTCCTTCCTTTAAATTTCTTTTTAGAATGGCCAAATAGTCCAGTTTCTGGCTTCTTCCTGTCTTGTTATTGCTGAAATAATCCCTAAAGCCACTTTCAGTTTTTAAGAGTTTATAATTATAGTAGTTTTGTTAAAATAGGGGTTAAAGTTTCAGTAATTGGAATCTCTTAACTGTACATGACATTCCTTTCCTTGATTGTCATCTTGGAGAAAGACCTAGACCTAAACTTCTGTTTCTCTAAATATTTTATTCCGGGTGTTTCAGGCCATTCTGCCTTAGCTACATGCTCTTGTATCAACACTGTAGCTCTTAAATTGATGTTTCCAGTTTTTTGGGTTTTTGTTTTTAAAGATTTATTTATTTGAGAGAGAAAGAGAGGAGGGGCAGAGGAAGAGGGAAAGGGACAATCTTGGGCTCCATGCCCAGAGGAAGAGGGGACAGTCTTGGGCTCCATGCCCAGTGGAGTCCAACATGGGGCTCAATCCCACGACCCTGAAATCATGACCTGAGCTGAAATCAAGAGTCGGAGGCTTAACCAACTGAGCCACCTAGGCATCCGAATGTTTCCAGTTTTAAATTGTCCCCAGGCTTTTTTGCACAAAGTTGTTTCTTCAAGACATAATTAGAATAAAGGTGACTAGATCAAGTCTTGTAATAGATTGAAGAACTAGAGGCTACCTAATTTTCTGAGCCTCAGTATCCTTAGCTGTAGTATAAAGATAATAATCCCAAGGGTCAAGGTAGATAATATGGCCCTGGGTTTAAGATGGTTCAACTTTAATAATTTTTTGACATTATGATGGTGCAAAAGCAATATGCACTGTGTAGAAACCATACTTAAAATTTTGAATTTTGATCTTGTGCTGGGCCAGCAGCTTGCAGTTTGATACTCTCAGGTCATGTTGGCAGCTGCAGCTTCCAGTCAGCTACACAATTATGAGCATAAACAACTAATACACTTGTAACTTTCTGTATTGCATACAGCCATCCTGTTTTTCACTTTCAGTACAGTATTCAATAAATTACATGAGATATTCAACACTTTTATTGTAAAATAGGCTTCATATCAGATGGGTTTTGCCCAGCAATAGGCCAGTGTAAGTATGCTGAGCAATTTAGGTGTATTAAATGCATTTTCCACTTAATGATCTTTTCAATTTTTTAAAATTTTTTAATTAACATATAATGTATTGTTTCAGGGGTACAGCTCTGTGATTCATCAGTCTTACACAATTCACAGTGCTCACCATAGCACATACCCTCTCCAATGTCCATCACCCAGCCACCCCATCCCTCCCACCCCCCTCCACTCCAGCAACCCTCAGTTTGTTTCCTGAGATTAAGAGTCTCTTATGCTTTGTCTCCCTCTCTGGTTTCATCTTGTTTCATTTTTCTCTCGCTTCCCCTATGATCCTCTGTCTTGTTTCTCAAATTCCTCATATCAGTGACATCGTATGATACTTGTCTTTCTCTGATTGACTTATTTCGCTTAGCATAATACCCTCTAGTTCCATCCATGTCGTTGCAAATGGCAAGATTTAGGTGCGTATGTCCCTTCGGATCCCTACATTTGTATCTTTGTGGTAAATACCCAGTAGTGCAATTGCTGGGTCGTAGGGTAGCTCTATTTTCAGCTTTTTGAGGAACCTCCATACTGTTTTCCAGAGTGGCTGCACCAGCTTGCATTCCCACCAACAGTGTAGGAGGGTTCCCCTTTCTCTGCATCCTCGCCAACATCTGTTGTTTCCTGACTTGTTAATTTTAGCCATTCTGACTGGTGTGAGGTGGTATCTCATTGAGGTTTTGATTTGGATTTCCCTGATGCCGAGTGATGTTGAGCACTTTTTCATGTGTCTCTTGGCCATTTGGATGTCTTCTTTGCAGAAATGTCTGTTCGTATCTTCTGCCCATTTCTTGATTGATCTTTTCAACTTATGATGGGTTTATTTAGAGGTGATCCTATCATCATACATTGAGAAAGATCTGTATATGCACAATCCTTTGAAAATCAGAAGCACTAGCTACATTTCTACGTTGGCATGCTCTAACTAAAAAATGAATATATCTAGTAATACTTTGAGGACTGTGAAAAAGATTAAATAGATTTTTACAGAAATGTGTTTTAAATTTTCTTCTATTTATACTACATTCCCATGTAGTATGATTCTTCTCACTTGAAGTTAGGAGGGGTAAGAACATGAGGTAAATTTTTTTTTATGGTGGGTTTTGCCTTGGGAAGAATAACTTTTTTATACAGTCTCAATATTTTTCTTTACAGTTTCTGAACTTCAGTGTCATATTTAGGAAGCCATTTTCTACTTCAAAATAACTAAGTATTCCCAATGTTCTCTTTTGGTTCTTTAGTGCAGTTTTTTTACATTTATTTTTTGTTTTTTTGAAATTGAATACTGAATTATTTTGAAGATTACTTCTCAGTGATCAGGACTTACATAAAAAACTGGAAAGAACATTGTTCCCATCCTAGTCACAACAACAAAAAGCCAGATAATCCACAGAATTATTTTTTTTTAAAGATTTTATTTATTTGACAGAGAGAGACACAGCGAGAGAGGGAACACAAGCAAGGGGTAGTGAGAGAGGGAGAGGCAGGCTCCCTGCAGAGCAGGGAGCCCAATGTTGGACTCCATCCCAGAATCCTGGGATCATGACCTGAGCCAAAGGCAGACGCTTAACGACTGAGCTACCCAGGTGCCCCAAGAATTTTCCAAAATTAATTGGCAAATGAGTATCTGAGTCTGTTTTCAGTTCTTTTTGGTATAGACCCAGAGTGGAATTACTGGGTCATATAGTAATTCTGTGTTTAACTTTTGAGGAATCGCCAAACTGTGTTTCACATTGGCCAAACTATTTTACATTCCCAACAGCAGTGTATGTTCCAGTTTTTTCACATTCTGACAACATTTATTTTACTGTTTTGTTTTTCATTATAGCCATCCTACTAGGTGTGAAGTGGTAGCTTGGTCCTTCATATATATAGTCACTTTGATCATATTGAAGGAAGAAAAAACAGTTAAAAAGAGGAAATAGGGAAAATCAACTTCAGGTGTTAGAAGTTTATGGCACTAATATATATTTAACCTGATTGTTATCAATATTTTCCACCTTTTCAGGTTGGGAGTACACTGGAGGATTCAAGAACTTCAGTGGCCAACTGTTCCAATTCAGAACCACATTTGGCTAGCGCACATGCTTCTCTTAGACTTCCACAGGAAGGCCAAAGAAGTTGTATTCTTGTAGATAGTTGTGAAATCACTTCTGGATCCGAAGTAATTTCTTCCCTCAGAGCAATTCATGGCTTACAAGTAGAGGTTTGTCCTCTTAATGGTTGTGATTACATTGTGAGTAACCGCATGGTGGTGGAAAGGAGGTCTCAATCTGAGATGTTAAATAGTATCAATAAGAACAAACTCATTGACCAGATCCAGTACCTACAGACCATGTTTGAAAGAATATGTGTGATTGTGGAGAAGGACAGAGAAAAAACAGGTTTGTATTTTTAAATGTTTTTGTTTATAAGGCTGTAAAGGAACTCAACTATTATTTAGTTCACTCTTCTCCTGTCAGGATGTGGAAGACTCTTAAAATACAAATACCTGACTCAAAAATGTCACTTTATGTTTGTATAAAGCCATAATGTTTTTCATTAGTCATTGTGTTTATTTTATGCTGCTGTTGTTATTATTAGCTTCATAAATAAGTTTATTTCTGGATTTTTTTAGTCATTGTGTTTAAATGCAGTTTGAGAGTTAAACGGTGAGAAATTGAAGGCAAGTGAACCAGTCATGCCTTTTTTCAGGAGCTCCAGAAAGGATAGGACCTTAAGGCAGTAGTGAGGAAAAGGAGGATTTAGGGGAATTAGGACACAGGATTAGCAGTAGTTGGTGGAAGGAGGCAAGAATTACTGTAATCGATTAGACTGATTTCTTTCACTGGACAGCTAGTTAGGTAGTGGTGCTTTTTACTGAAATTATGAATATCAGAGAAGAGCAGATTTGAGACATAAGGGGTGTTCAGTTGAATATTCGGGAGTTCTTTTTAGGGAGCTGAAATGGGTGCATAGGAGCTTCAATTAGGGAATTTCTTTGGGTGATATTTAATTGTAGGGGGAGCCCTGAGAATGATAGAAAAGGTCATGGAATATGGAATCAGAAGATTGCACTGAATTCTGGTGTCACAATAGCTATGTGACGTTGCATTGACAAATCACTCCCTCTGAGGGGTTAATAAATACTTGTCTTATTCATCTTGTGATATTATGAGGACTAAGTGAAATCATGCAGGCAGAAGCCAGTATGGAAGAATTCAGGAATTATGCAGTCACAGTATATAGTAAAAGGAAATAATGTAGTTTATATAAAATATTGGGTTGGTAATTGAGCACTGTACCTTTTTACCCTCATGCTGTCACTGGTAAACTATGCGGCCTTGGATAAGTCACTCTTTCAGTAGCCAAATTTCTTTTTTTTTTCTTTCTCCCCCCCCCCAACAAGTGAGGATTTCAGATTAAGTGATCTCTTGGGTCCTTTTAATGCTAAAATTCTATAATTTCCTCTTTACCAACATATCCTTTATATAAAGGATATAGATTTAGAATAAAAGGAAAGTAACATGGCAAAAGTTACAGGAAAAAAAAAGTTATGGAAAAAGTTTTGTTTTGTTTTTCCATAATGAAAAGTGCCCCCAAAAGAATGGAGGATAGAATATGAAAAGAAATGAATGGGAAAGGTTAGGGAAGTAATAGGCAAGAATTAAAGATGACATTAAAATGGGTGTGCAGTGTTTTGAGTTACTCTTGGAATAAAAATATAAGATTTCATATCAGTTAAGCCAATACTTGGGCTATTCATCAGTGCTAGCGTTATAAAGAATTTTAGAGATAAGTAATATGGTCTTGGTCTTCAGGAATGAATTAGCTAGGAATATAAGCTCTCTCCTGCCGACTCATCTTCCTGTTTAATTCCAGTTGAAGACACTCATAAAGATAATTTTTCCTATTTTATCTCCCAGATACTTGAGACATCACTTTAAATCTTTAGTTGAGGCTTTCTCGTTAGCATAACGTGGCACTAGTTTGCTTAATGGTTGTAAATCTTGGGATTTTAATAATATATAGTATTAATAATTCTACTTAATGTAAGTTACTAAGGTTTGCATTTTCCTAAATGTGAAATATTTAGGAGACACATCCAGGATGTTTAGGAGAACAAAGAGCTATGACAACTTGCTGACTACCTTAATTGGCGCTGGAATCCGAATTCTTTTCAGTTCCTGCCAAGAAGAAACTGCAGATTTGCTAAAGGAACTGTCTTTAGTAGAGCAAAGAAAGAATGTTGGTATTCATGTTCCAACAGTGGTGAACAGAAGTAAATGTGAGGCACTTCAGTTTTATCTAAGTATTCCCAATATAAGTTATATAACTGCATTAAATATGTGTCACCGGTTTTCTTCTGTGAAAAAGATGACTAACAGGTATGTCTGTTTTAATATTTTTAGATGGTTACTTTTAAATGATTCTTAGAAGTCTTTCATAGAAATTTTAATTTTTTTTAAAAAATAAAGATGTATAGCACCTGTTAAGATTATCTCATTCAGTAAAGACTTTTTGCTTGCCAGTATGTTACAGCCACTGCATGAAGGTGAAGATCTTAATGGGGGGTAAAAATAGGCACTGCGTTTAGGGAACTTAAAGTCCTCTGGGAGCTAGACAGACAGCTCTTATATTTGAGCTTGCATTCTAACATTCCTGGGCTGTTTAGTTCTGGAACTAGACAAATGTGACAGTGCAAATTTTACTAGTTTTTGTCTATTGCTTGAAAAGATTTCAGAAAATAGGTTATTTTAATTAAAATAACCAGTGTAAGATATTGAAATTATTATTATATATGACTTCACATATAGAGAATGTTTTATTTAAACTCATGCTAAGGACATATTAACTCTTTTACATTTGGTAGTCTTTAAGCAAGTAAGAATATTAAATTGTATAAGTCAAAAGTTCTAATTTATTTTTCAGCTCACCTCAAGAAATCTCCATATATGCACAAGTAACTCATCAGAAGGCTGAGGAAATATATAGATATATTCATTATGTTTTTGACATGCAAATGTTACCAGATGGTCTTAACCAAGGTAGACTACAGTCTGATGCATGATTATACTGCTCAGGTGCGATGAAAGAACTCTGGCAATACTAAATGCACTTCAATAATCATTCCTGTGGTTTGTTATGATCAGCTTAAAATATGTAAAAGAATATTTTCCTGTTTTATATTGTGTACATTTATATTTATATAGATTATAAATTATTTTAAAAGAAAACCTGATGTTCAGTAATCATTTTGATTAATAACTAGATTATGAAACTTATTTTTTATTGAATAAAAAAAAGGTTTACTGAAGGTGCTATTAAGAAGGTAAAGGCTCGAATTAGAGATGTATTTTAGAAATTTTCCAGAGATTATAGTACTGTACTTGCCATTTGTTAGCATATTGGTTGAGGTGTCTGACTGCTGCCAACTTAATGGTCATAAGTAATTTTCCTATATATAAACGATAGTATCATCTAGAATATTTTAAATGTCCTGAGTCTACATACATATTGTATAAGATGTGAATGGTACGTGTATCATGAGTTACTAGGAGAGATGAAAATTTAACGGAGTATGATTATCTTACCAGAAGTGTCCCAATCAAGTATAGTCAAATCCTGCTAGTATGAACTCCAACCTACACTGCTTTTTTTGTTGTTGAAATATATTCAAAGAAGTGGAATACTGGCTTAGACTTGGAAAATTGGTTAGTATAGATAAGCTGTTGAATGTGGACTTCATTGTGCCCATAACAGTGTGTCTGTGATGCTATTACTATTTTAAGATGTCTCCATGTTACCAGATGTCTCCATCTGCAACATCTAAGGCCCTCCTAGTCAGTCTAGTGCTAATGCAGCCTTTAACTATTGATCCCCCCCCCCCCCATTTAGAGTCCTTTATTCACTGCAGGGTAGTTGAACCAACCTCACAGTAGAGTTCTGCTTGCCTTACACCAGGCAGGGACTTCAGAGTTCATCTAATTCAAATTGCTTTTCTCTTTTCTTTCAGATAGAAGTGAGGCCCACAAACAAGTGACTTATTCAAGTTTACTGGGAAATCTAGAACCAGAATCCAGGAACTAGATAGTTTTTTTCACTAAAAATTACTCTTAATTGTGAACTTAGCTTCTTTGTGGTAGTATAAATTCTTAATTCTTCTGAGAGCAGATTTCATAGTTCTGCTGTTCAATAATTCTGTCAAAGTCAGAAGTATTGGCTCATGTGCAGTTATCGATTTATTTCTCTCTCCGGCTCAAATTTACCCTTTAGTATCTTGCTTTGCTATAATGGACTGGATTTTTTGAACATTTCTCCCTACAGTGGGCATGATTTAAGCTTTGTCAGTAGAAGGAAGAAAGGGGCTTCTTTCTGGTTCGTGTGCTGTTCTGCTGCTTTTTGCTTACGTGGTGTCAGCGATGCATGTGGGTGGGGACATCTGGTCCCTAGCTGGGTGCCAGAAGCATGCAGTTCCTTAACTTCACATTGACCTGGGCTGATGACCACCTTGCAGCATCTCCCATGCAGACACCAATGTGCTCAAATTCTTGGTGTCCAACCACCAGACAGAATATTTTATAAATTAACATGGTGTGAGGGACTTAACCTAGAGGATTTCATTTATTTATGCTTCTGTGTATAGAGCTCTATCCATATTTAAGCTGCAGTAGCCTTCTTTATATTCTCATTGGTAGCACTTAACTATCAGCCTTATTGATTATTAATCCATCTTTGAGCCCACTTTTAAGACTCCTCTGGAGGTTACTTTAAGCCGTACTAGCTTATCTTATGACCTGATGGAAAGAAATGGTATTAAGCAGGTACCTGGCAGGTGGGATACAATTAAAGTAGACTAGGAGGGACACTGAAGGAGTTCCAACAGGACACAGGGAATATGGGGGCGGGGGAGGAGGGAGGCCAGTTTTTGGTGTTGTCTGTGCAATATCAAAATTATCTTTTTGTTTCCCATTATGTAATTTAAGTACCTTCTAACTCCTTAAAAACACTATCCATTAACATTAAACAGCATGGTATTATACCAAATATTGGCAACTTAAGTTATAAAACAGTATTTCACTCTAAAATAATCCCTTCATTTGTTTCATCCTACCTCTAAAATCTTTGTGGCAGGAACAATTATGAACTCAGTCTAATATCTCATCAATATTCTTTTTTTTAAGATTTTTTTTTTAAAGATTTTACTTATTTATTTGAGAGAGAGAGAGAATGAGAGATAGAGAGCACGAGAGGGAAGAGGGTCAGAGGGAGAAGCAGACTCCACGCTGAGCAGGAAGCCTGATGTGGGACTTGATCCCCGGACTCCAGGATCATGACCTGAGCCGAAGGCAGTCGCTTAACCAACTGAGCCACCCAGGTGCCCTCATCAATATTCTTTTTAAATCTTGTGTTTCCATAAATTCTACAGTTATATAACTGCTGATTATTACTGACTAAATTCTTAAGAAACAAGAAAAATGTATTTTTTACTAAAAGTTCTGATATTTTTTGAGGCAAGAAGCTGAATCAGTAACAAAGTGCATGTTTACTTTCTATGATCCAGTAATCAAACAACAAGAACCAAAATAGAAATATTATAAAAGCAAACCAAGTTTATTTGAACAGTCTAACTGGAGAGAAAGGGTAAGTTGATATATACTATAACCACAGGAAAATATTCTATGTCAAATTTCAAAACAGAGTGGCAGAATAAGCTAAAAAAAGGTTTATTTCTAAAGGAGCTATCTGAAAGGAAAATAATGTTTACCGTGACAGGGCATATTAACTTGACTCCTTACAATGGGTAGATCAACTACTTGAACGTTTGTCTAATCCAGTCTTTTTAATATTGAGACCAAATGTAAACTATGTCTGCATATGTAAATATGGTGTAATGCAACAAAATTTGTTCTCTGATTCTACCTAATAAAATACTGAAAAAGCAATAAATTTATATAGGTTTCATAAATATGCCAATCACAAATTTTAAGAAAAAAATCAGGAGAAAGAGTGTCAGATAGTTTCAACAACATGTAATTTAAACATAAGATCAATTCTGGCTTGTATACCAAATGGTAACAAATGCTAACTTAACGTTTTCATGAATTCAGTAGCCAGCAGTAACAGTCTACTTTTCATTCTCCCACCCCTATCCCTTAAGGGTAGCAATATTTTCTTGGAAGCTTTTAAAAAATCTGTTTGGAACATGATTTTCTTAAAGTAAACAGCCTTGGATGCTTAAGAGAGACTTATCTAGAATATTTTAATATTGCAAAACCCAGAAATTTACAAATATCTATACAAGCAAAACAATTTTCCTTATATTTTAGTAAGCTGCTGCAATGAGGAATATTTACAGAAGGATATTTTACTTTGAATACAAACTCCTAAAACCTTTGAGAAGGAATCCACAATTTCATATGAAGGTACATTTTAAGGAAAATATGTGTATTCCAAAAGAAGATACAAAAATCTGCTTCCTAATAAAAATCCTGGAAATATTTTCTCATTTTTACTATGTAGAATCCGAGTTTGAAAAATAATCATCTTTCTCTTCTTCATCTAAAGACTCCATAGCATTAGTGAAAAGTTTTCCAATACCAGAGTTTTCTCCTAATTCTGTAAAGAGAAGTTTAATAAAAAAAGATTAATATACTTCTAAAAGTAATTTCAATGAAATTGAAAAGAACTGAGAAACTGAATAGTAGCTCTGCCCATTTGAGAGCAGTTAATTTTAGTACCATATTAATAAGAGACTATCTTACAATAGATTAAGCTACAAAAGAAAAATTACCTTTGTTAAACAGGGTTTTTTTTCTTGATGTTGGAGTTGAAAAATCAGTTTCAATCTGCAAGAAAGTTCATGTTAATAGCTAAATAGTACCTCCTGTGAATTCTGCCTCAAACATAGACAAAAGAAGCATGCTTCATCCCAAGTATCCTGAACACATGCCTATAGCGATACCTAATCACATTATAATTATCTGTGAAATGTCTAATTCTCTTTTAAGTTGAATTTATCTAGGGCAAGAGCACTTATTCAATGTTGTTTCCCATTCTTGCCTAAAAATATGACAAATTTTAAGTGTATAATATATACTTAACTACATCAATGATTTTTAAACTTTTGGCCATGGCCGGCTATCTTTAAAAAATGAAAAGGAACAGAATAGAAAATATGACAGGGTATATCCACTGTACTAAGGGTAAATATAGTTCAAACTTTTGAGATACAAACTCATGTTCAGGTTGTGACATAAATGTATTTTTTCTTGTGAAGTGAGTCAAAACCACTATTGTATCATTTAGCTCTTAAAATCATTCAGCGGCATCAAACCAGTATCATGATTCCCATGTCAACAATAACCATACATGAATAAAATGAGATTAGAAAGCCCAAATAGCTTGTCTTATTATAAAGCTGGTATGGGGAGTCAGGTCTTGAAATCAGAATTTTTAACACTAAACCCTTTGCTCTTTCTATCCTCACACATTAGCTACAAAATATTAGTCTATGAAAAAAATAGGACTAAATCACAAGGATATTATAGTTTGGTAGACTGCTGCTGACATTATGACCCATTAAGAAAAACAGAAGTCCAGTAGTCGTTAGGATGATGTCCGAAATACAAAGAAATAAAAATTCTTAATAGGAAGGGTCCTTATGGATCTATATCCGTGTGAACTTTTCATCACTGTGCAGAGAACACACTGAGTGGATTAGGATCTTGCTACTACTCAGTATGGTCCATGGACAGCAACATAGGCATTATCACCTGAAGCCTGTTAAAAATGCAGAAATCTCAAATCTACTGGATCAGAATCTGTTTAACAAGATCCCTAGGTGACTCCTATCCACATTTAAGTCTGTGAAACAATTGTCAAAACAACCCAACTTTTCACTGGCAAAATAGACACTAGAAGCCAACGAAGTCTTTCTCACTATGTTGATTCCAGGTCCTTTACAACAAACCAAAATTTCATTCTCCAGTCCCAGAAATGTGGGACTGGAGAAAGGGAAGCTAATCTTCCCTTTCCCTCCAAATCTTTCCCTCCAAATCTTTCCCTCCAAAATCTCCAATT